TCCATCTTTCTTCAATACGGGCACAATCGGAGAAGCGATATTCGAGTATTTTAGTCTTTCTAAAACTCCCATATATTACAGTCGTTGTAATTCCGTTTCGAGTTTTGCCTTCCACGCAAATGGTATCGGTCTACTTTTCATACATTGAAACTGAGGGTTGGATTTTACCGCTAAACTGGCCTTAAACCCTATTATTAAACCTAATTTTTTAGTAAATAATAAGGAAAATTTATGTACAATATTATTCTCCCAAACCTCATTAACTATATCACATTGATTTATTTTTATTAATTTTAATTTGTTTATTAGGTTTCTACCTATCAAATTAATCCCATTGTTTACAATAATAAATTCATGATATATAACTTTATTCATATAATTAACGGGTAATATACATTTACCTTTACTATTGATCATTACATTATTATAAGATTTTAAAATAATATCCGTTTTTGTTGCTGGTATTTTTAAATGGTAAACGTCTTCTATATTCAAAATGGAGACTGCCGATCCTGTGTCAATTAAAAATTTAATAAAAATTTTATCTATCAATAATTTCACCTCAAATTTTTCTCGAGACTCCTCTGGAAAGTCCCAATCCTCAAAACTTTCTCGCTCATTTTCTGGAACATCTATCGTTCGAATATATTCTTTCTTCCCACAATTCCTTCTGCATACTTTTTGTAAATGTCCTTTTATCCCACAATTATGGCAGATGGCATTCAAATTAGGGCACTTAGGTTTTATGTGATCTCCTAATTCACAACATTAGCAAATAATTTTTGATACTGGTTTGTACTTGTCATACTGCTCCCTTGTTACTGTTTTTGAGATTTTATTTATCTCCTTCCCTGCATATAATTTTTCATACGACATCATTTCTGTAGTCTCCATTGCGGTCGCGATTTGTATTGCACTATCCCATGTCAAGTCCTGCGTGTTAATTAATTTCATTAATATTTTTCCATTATTATTCCTGACACTAATTTGTCCCGCAATACTGTATTATACATATCTTCAAATTCACACGTCTTTGCCTTTATCTTTAATTTTTTAATATACTATACGATGGTTTCATCTTTTTCTTTTTCCATTTTAAAAAATAATTTCTTTCTAACATGAAATTCGTCTTCTTCATATAATAATTTTTTAAAAGTTTAATTATGTCATCATATGATATTTCCTCTAATGTCTTTGGCAAACACAAATTAAATAATTTAGAATAAACCTTTAATCCAATATTCGCTAATAAAAATGATTTTTTGTCTTCTATTTTTGCGATTTTAAATATGAATTCCATCTTTGATAAATAAACTTCCATATTGCACTCCTTTATATTATATTTCTCCATTTGAAACGACTGCACCATTGTAGTGATACCAAATTTTATTATAATTTTAACTATTTTTTATATTTTGTACCGCAGTATATATATATCTTTTACAAAACAAACAATTAATCGTCGTACACAATTAATAATATATATATTTAAAATTCATCATATATTTAATTGCCTTTGAGGCTAATTGTTTCTATTACAGTACGTATACCGTTAATGGCTTTAAAAATGTGACAACTAGGGTTTTATTCCAAACCTGGATTCGGATTGGTGATTACTTTTTTCCGAACAGTAACTTGACCTATAAATATTTAGGTTTATATACTCGCACTCAATTTCCATCACCACACCCCATTTTAACCAATAAAATTTTGAGGCCGTATTGAGCGTTTTATTATTTATTATAGTAATGCAAAAAGGACTTCCATAGGAAATACTGAATGCTAACGATTTAATATAGTAGCAAAAGGTTTGATGGAATTGAATGTAAAAATATTCGGATGGAGGATGGTTATGGAAGAGAAGGGCTTTAGAATAAATAGAAAAGACGAAGGTAATGTTTGGAGGTGAATGTTTAGAAAAGATCGAAGAGACAGGCACCTGGATATGTGGGAAAGGTGTTCCTAAAAACTTTAATAAGTTCCTGCTATCGTAAATAGGTTCACGATAGGTGAAAGGAAGCATGAAGAAGGTAAGTGCAGCATTTGTTTGTTTAAAGTGTAAGAAAGTGGTACAAGATGATGGTAATAACACTATTTTTATATTAGAAATGAAACAAAAAAAGTGAGGCAATTTTGCTAATTAGGTGAATACACCTAGGGCAGATGGAGGCGTTGACTTGCCATTGGTAGCAAGACATTGTTGAAAATGAGAGATGTTTTCAATTTTAGCGAATAAAAATAACTAAGTTTGAAGGGAAAGGTTTATGAAGCTGTGAGAAATTACATGATGTAAGAGTCAGCGATAAATGGGCAATTAAAACGACTCACAAAGCCAAATTAGAAAGAATGGTTAGATGGATATGTGGGATATCTTTGATAGAGAAACAAGCAAAGAATTGAGAGAAAGGAATAGGAAAGAAGTAATAGGCGATGTCGTGAGAAGAAATAGACCGAAATGGTTTGAATGTTGAGTGGAAGGTAAAAATCAATTGGTTAAATAAATGCCGTTGGTTATAAGTGCAGGGAACAAAACAAAGGCTATCAAAGATAAGTTAGATGAAAGTGGTAAATATCTAAGCCCAGAACAGCGAAAAATGGAGAAAGGGATTAGAGGGGAAAATACCTTACCCAGATAAAGCCACTAAATGATGAAGAAGATTGAATTTTTTAAAGTAAAAGTAAACAATATTAGGTATATCCTAACTTGATTTTTTGTTTTTACTTTTCCATTATGATATAACTATTATCGTTTTACAAATTTTTACCAGAAAAATGTTTAGATGTAATAAAAATAGTAGATATTGAAACTTTTTTTATTCTCATTTTTAGAAACGAAACTTCATTCCATTCAATTGATAGTTTTGGCAGTTGAATAGTAATTTCTATTTATACCAAACCTGGATTATGCGTGCCTGGACCGAACTCCATTTAAAAAATTCTGAATCTGGAAACTTACCGAACCCGTCAAAAATTTAGGGTCGAGAACTTGTGTTGTAGACAAGGCCACCGCCCCCCCCCCCCCCCCCCAAATTTTTTTAATTTAATTGAAATTTATTATGTATTATAGATATTTTTATATAATTTTATAATATATTTTTCAAAATTTAGAAACAAATATCGTCGGCTTGTGACTTTTTCACAATTTGAACGTTTGATGATTTTGATTCAAATAATCAAAAAAAACTAAAAAGATTTTGACCAACTAGATTTATTGGAAAACAACAGTCAGTGAGACTTTTCATCGAATTATGAAGTTATTTTTTTCAGTGCTAGAATCCTACATATCAAGCAAAGGAAAGAATTCTTCAGATGCTGAAAATCTTTTGCAGGCTATTACGAAGTCACATTAATCAATTCATTGCGTTTATTTTTTATTGATTTAGCAAAATGCTACAAAATATTAATTTGGATTTAAGGGAGGTTATGAATAGGGCAGAAGATATTGTTGAGATATTAACAAATATCAGATAATGTGGATGATAAATTTTATGAAATATACGAGAAAGTAAAGAAGATCGCTAATATGTTTGGGATGAAATTTTTAAACCTAAGTAGTTTTCTAAACAGTCCAATCGCTTATAGATGCATATATAATTGAGGATTTTTCAAAAATACATATTTTTATTCCACTTATTGATACATTTTTATTTCAATTGGAGGAAAGATTTATTAATCACAATTTTATTTTAAAAACTTTTATTTTCTTTTACCGGTTGAGTCTGAATTGCTGATTACACTTGAAATGCAGGATCGTATAAGCTACTTTGTGATGTCGAATTTTGGTATAAAAATCAGCACCGGTAAAAACGGTTTAAATGGATTAGCCCTATTAAATATTTATAAGATTATTCTTGATAAAAATTTGATTCTAGATGAATTAGCAAATCTCAGAGAAAGGTAGACCTCTCTTTATAAATTCAAATCATAAAATTGCAATATGATTATAATATGTTCTTAGTAATAAAATTTTTATATGTATAATGAATTAGTCATAATATTTATATATTTTTTATATTATACTATTTTTAATAAAAGTATTGCATTTGCAATAAGAATTATTTATATTTTGATAATATACTTAATTATAATTGTAAAATTATAATTTTTAAAATACCGTTTTAGAATTACTTATATTTTATTGTGATTACATTTTATTAAAATATAGTTATTTAGAATAAATTTTTAATATAATAATCTGTATAAAATTCGAAAATTTTGGTATTTTATTGTATATTATCATTAAAATAAATACAAATAAAGGGATGTTATTCATACCAAAGTATGAGTGATCATTAAAAATGAGAGGTTTGTGGGGGGGGGGGCGAATATTTGTTCTTTCTACACCGAATGGATTTAATTAATTTAAATTTGACTAAATATTGATAAAATTTTCAGAATAATGCTTTCAATCGCTTATTAATCATAGATTTGGAAAAAATTTTGTTATTAATTTTTTTTACATTTATACTGGCTATTATAGTAGAAACTAATAAAGCATAAAATATTGGCAAATTTTAAAAAGGGAGGTTTGGGGGCGGGATCCCCAAAATTTTTTAACCCCCCCCCCCCCCCCCCCCTACCATGGATAAATTCTGGCTACGCCACTGTCGAGAACCTTGATATAAATGCCTTCCACCAAAAATTTCATTCATGCCTTAACTAAAATCGCCTTAGTAATGAATAATGGAATTTTTATTATTATCATAGTGTCACTTATATATTCTCATTATAAAAGAAAAGGATAGTGCAAATGTTACCATTGCTAATTTGTTTTAACTTTTCTTGCTAAAAGGACGAGCGGAATGCAAAATGCTATATTTAGTAAAAATATAATTTATTGTATACATTTTTTTTTGCATAAAATATTATTGTAGTTTATAAATTCTGCAAAAAAGGTGTCTATAAATTTCAAGAAATAGGACATTTTTGAAATAAATTTTTATTACAAATACCGTCAATATCAATAATATGACAACGATTTTTATGATTGCTTACATAAATGATAAGGCTTTAAATATAATTTAACGTTGGTGGATTTTTAAATTATTAATATTCAACTGATAAAAATATATTCTTTAGTTTTGTTTTGAAATTTATATAATGAAGTGTATGGTATATAAGTTTACTATGCGATTTGATATCAATTTACAATGATGGATTAGATCAATTTTTAAAAACTATTATTACATTTAATATAAATAATTAAAAGATATAGGCAAAAAAATGAACATTGAAAATTCGAAAATAAAGCCATCGAACTTATAAATTTTTTTGGCCCCTTATGAGCTAGATGAGTGGTAAAGGAGGGTATTAAAAATTATTTACTAAAAACAGGAAATAATTTAATGTGGAGTAATGAAGTTAAACATTTATATGAACTCGCATCAAAATATCTGAGAATCGTAGTAGTATCAATCAAATCTTTTCGCGTCACTAATAAAAGATTAACATTTATCGAGAATGAGTATTTTTACATGCCATATCCCAATTCGGACAATTTTTGTCGCAATAATTGATTTTCTTTTCGCAATTTCGCCAAATCATCTCCCTCATTTTCGTGATCGATCATTTCAGTAATGTATCGGGAAAATATTTTATCTCGCAAATTTATAAAAAGTAATATAGATATATGAAAGTAAAATAATAATTTTTTTATCCACCTTATCTAATATATCACAAAATAAAATATAAATATGAAACTAATTTAAACCATTTTGCAATCAAGACATAAATATTATAAAGAATCCAATATATCTAAAGTCCGTCTTAAGCCTAAGGAAATTTAATAAAGTTCTTTAAAAATTTTTTCGTAAATTCTCATAATTTTTTATCCTAAATTAAATATCCGGCCACTGCCGGATGAAGTCAAATTGAGCTGGGTCAATGAGATTGAGTCCGGGTTAAATCGAAGCAAATGATATATTGCTTGGGTATAAATTATAAAAAACGTGATATTTGATATAAGCACAAAATCTAAGAAGCTTATGAGCCAATACATGACATTTCAAGAGTCGGCAGTAATTTATGTAGCTCATCGAGTTGGCTTAATTCCGAGTATTTCCACTAAAGACTCGAGTCGTGGCTAAGTTGGCAAGACTTAGGCGTTTAACACTACTTGAACTTTTAACTCTAACATTAAAAATTTTTAAACCTTTATCACATATGTAAATGTTACCTTTTTACATAAAAATCAAAGACCGCTGCCCAGGCCCGTAATCTAACCAAAGATGGTATAATTTTAAAATAATTTATCTGATACCTGCAGAATCGACCAAACTTCGGTACACGGGCAAAGTGTTTTTAATTTTCTTAAATATACATTTAAAAACCAAATATTTTAACTCGTTATTAGCTATTAAAATTACAAATAATATAATATATTTTAAAAAAATATGGCTAGGCCTAAAAATATAAAACCCGGGCCAGGCCGAACCAAAAATTTTTTTAAAAAAGAATTCAAGCTGAGCCGTGTATAGGTATCTCTGCAGGTCTCTAATATATATTAATCTAAAAAATCAAATACGTTAAATATTTATTTACACATTATATTTTCAATTTTCCATTATTACAATTTGTAAAATAAAGTCGAATTATTTAGAATAACAAAATTTTAAAAATTCTGGGCCGGGCCGAAAAATGATAAAAACAAAAATCCGGACATGGTCAAAAAATTTCTTAAAAAATAGCGGGCCGAATTCTTCTTCTCCGTTTTATGGCGATTTCCAGGTTTACCCAGGTAGGTCAGCTTTCTCTCTGATTTTTCTTTTCCATTTTTGACAGTCCTGAGCATCAATATTTGTAAGATAAATGCTTCTCATATCCGCCGCTATCGCATTTGTCCACTCATCTTGGGCCTTCCTCTAGGTCTTGATCCTCTTACTTCCATCAAGGTGGATTTTTTTACCCAGTCATCTTTTGTCATACGTTCTACATGACCAAACCATCTTAGTCTATTTGGTCGCATTACCACTCCAATCATTTCCAAGCCCAATCCTGCTCGCAATTCCTTGCTAGTTCATCTCTCTCTCAGATATACCCCACACATCCATCTAATCATCCCCATCTCTGTTCTATCTAATTTGGCTTCGTGAGCCGCTTTCATTCCCGATATTTCACTGCCATAAACTAAACAACTCCTCGTACAGCTTATGTAAACTTTCCCCTTTAACTTCAGAGATCCTTTTTTATTTGTTAGAATAGACGAACTCTCTGAACTTCTTCCATACTATGCTTGTCTGACCCTTGCAACAACGGTAGAATCCACACCACCATCTGCATTTAGCATATCACCCAAATAACAAAACTTATCCACTTTCCCTAGGGGTAACCTATTGCCAATATCCAGACCACCAATTTCTACGTTATCACTATTATGTACCCCTTTTATGCACGTTCTACAAATAAAGGTCATTCTTGCTAACATCAAATTTCTTTTTTTCCCGTTACATCTATTATATACCCATTTCTGGCATCTGGTGCATTGGATTGAATTTTTAGCAACTCCTCTCGCCGGATTTCTCCATTTAGATTTTCTCCACCAATCATCACCTTTGTCTTTGCTGCATTCATTTACAAGCTCTTTGCTTCCATAGCCATCTTCCATTTACAAATTTTACGCAATTCATTCTTACTGTTTGCCATTAATACAAGATCATCTGCATATAATAGCTCCCAGGGACTCTAGCCACCACATCCATTACTAAGATAAATAATAATGGACTCAGCACGGATCCTTGATGAAGTCCTACCTTTATTTCAAAGCTTTCACTATCTCCATCATCCGTTCGTACTACAGTTTGTGCTCCTACATACATTGCCATAACCAACCATTCCTCCATACCTGATTATCTCAAGGCCCATCTAGTAACCTCGTGCGGCACCCTGACAAATGCTTTCTCCAAATCAACAAACGCATAATATAGCTTCTTTACCTTCGCAAGATATTTCGCCTGTATTTGTCTCACCACAAAAATTGTATCTGTCGTGCCTTTCCCCGATGTAAAACCAAACTGCATTTCATCAATTTTAGTGTTTCCTTATCCGCTTCTCTAACACCCTCTCAAATACCTTCATTGCATATTTCAAGAGTTTAGTAGCTCTATGGAATATATGCCGAGATAATATTATATAGCTTTCTACCAAAAATCATCTTAATAACCATTATCTGGTTATTAGCCTCAATTTCTCCGCAACCAATACCCCAACTCCAGCCTTACCATCATTACTTCCTTGCCAGAAGAATTTATACTTTTCATTAGTCTTGCCAATCGTTCTTGCGCTATTACTTCTACCTGGTCTCCTGTATGCAGACACATCTATATGTCTTCTATGCAATACATCTGCCACTTCTCCCATGATACTCCCAATGTGACCCTTACTCTATCCCCCCATAAACTAGTTTCTCCACTTATTATCAAGTCGTTTATGGCAGTCATGTTTTATTTTCACAAATCGTGGTTCTATCAGATTTCCCACCCTTCTTTTTGTCGTAGGTGGATTATGAAGCCCACGGGGAACCATGGGCTCTACCCCACTAATGTTTTGTTGTATTAGGAGATTTCGTAGTAAGGTTTTTACAATCGGATAGCTTTCCTGACATCAACCCTATTAGTGACTTTTTCACCGTCGAGGAGAGGGCGATCCTATTCTAGACCCAAATCACCAGGCTTAAAAATTATTGAAAATCCGGGCCGGGTTTAAAATACTCATTTACAAGATGAGTTAATGATAGTCACTACCTTAAGGTTATTACATTTATTTTGTTTATTTCAAATTTATTTAAATAAATTTGAAAAATCGTGATTTTTGGAAAGCCTCTATGGCCTAGTTGGCAAGAGCGTCTCTTACCAATTCGATGGTTATGGGTTCGAATCCCAGCAATGATCATGTTTTTTCTTAATCTAACGGTGGTTCCGTCTTGGGGGGGGGGATGATATTCGGAGGCCGGGCTCGATCACGTGATTCCTTTATAATATATGTTAAATAATAAGGGACTTATTACATTTTAATAAATTTTGGTCGGTGTTTAGTAAATACGGTTGGTATTTAGAATATTGTTATACGTTGACTTGGTAGAAACCATTAACCTATAAGATGGACCTGCCATTTTATTTCATTTCTATTAAATTAATTATTTGGTAAAAAAAAACAAGGGGTTTTATTTTTTAAGGAACAATTTTATATTGAAAATTGTGTTTATTATTCACGTTTTAAATTGACTTTTTGATGTTAAAATAAAGATATACAATTTAATTAAATTAAACTTGGAATCATGATCGAACACTTTATGAGAAGGTTTTAGCCAAACTTAAGTAACTCCGAAGTCAACCTGAGGTTACTTTTTTGCATACCTTAAGTGGTCCTAGAACCGTCCTGAGGTGGATCGAGTTAATCAACTAAAAAGTAACAACTCCTCCTGATGTCAGAGTTAGTCTTTTTAAATATCTATAAATAGACTCGATTCGCATCTTTCACTCTCATTTAGAGGCGACAAGATATTTCCAGGGAAAAACAAATATTATTTTTTGCTCTATTTTAATTTTTTCTATTACTATATAATCCTTATGGAAAATAAAATTTACCATTCAATATTTCATTACAAATTTTTCAATATCACAATTATTTTAAATATAATCTCCCAATATTTTGCTGGAAATCTTCATTATTGCAAACATTTTATAATTCGTTTATTTTGTTAAAAATTGAGTTAAATTTTTTTAATACTATTTTAATATTTTTATAAGAAAATTAATTACTGCAATTTTAATTTCCTTCAAAATGATTCAGCATGTTTTCCCTCATTTTTACATCCCTAATTTATCATTCTTATAAAAATAAAAAAAGATTTTTATTTTTATAAAATATAATTTTTATAAAGCGAAATACTTTATTATTTTTAAAAAATCAAATTGGGAATGTTTTTATAAGATATCATCCGATCATATTTTTCTTGAAAATAATTAATATCGGTGCTGATCAGATTTTAATATACTGGACAGCTCTAATTTAAATCTATTCAATAATTATAAGATTCATCGAAAATAAAATATCAATAAATCAGCTTATGTTTGCAAGAGAGCGATAAAAAAGAATCCGTAAATTTAAAAAAAACTTTTGATATCGTGAACATTTGTTAAAACGGTAACATCGTCCTCAGCCAGTCTATAAAGCACAAAGGGTTCTAATTTTAACATGAATTCATTAGGATTTTCCTTGGTCGTAACATCATTGCTAGTATCTTTATCTGAAATATTGCATAAAATATAGAAGGATTTTTTATCGCAACTATTTTAATCCTTAAATTGTATAAGCAGCAGTTTAAAAAAAGTCATGTAAGAAATAAGTTGTAAATGAAACTAAATCATGTTATGTTACTATTGAATATGTACCGTGCAAACAATTCATATCCAAAATTTGGTTATATAGGACAAAAGATAATTTGAATATGAATCAAATCAGGGTTAGGAAATCAATTAAATGATTATAAATACCATCAGATAATTTTGTTCCTATCAACTTTAATTGAATAGGTTCTCTTTCGACATTGATAAAAAGAGAAAAGGGAGAAGGCGTCTTGTAAGAATTTTTTTTCTCATTGTTTAGGTTGCCGGTGGATAGAAGTTCTGCAATAAGAGTAAGTGTTTGACTAGAAATCAGTTGAAAATCTTGATTTAATTTGACGTGTGGATTGATTTGTAAGAGACTCGGTCCTATGAGTAATTGAAGGATTGGTCGAGACAACGATGGGTTATAACAAGCTCGGAGTTTCAAAAAGACTCTCTTATGCTTATCATTGGATTTAGAGTTATCGAAACTAGATTGCAGTTGTGTGTAATCGGGGTCTGTGTCTGTTTTGGTGGATACTTCACCATTCAATGAAACATAAACAGTTTAATTAATAATAATATATCGTTTTGCATAATTAACGATTTTATTTTATCGATTTCCAATTTTTTAAAAAAATGACAGAGTTTGGCTATATTTATAATATTATAAAGAATCTTTAATTTAATGTTCTTAGACGTGGTTATTATTGAATAGGCTAAAGAATATAACTAGACTTAAAACAAGTGATTTATAACATTGATAAATGGAACATATACGATTAAGAGTAAAATTAAACCAATCATACCATCAAAATTGTCAGAAATTTTATCGTGAAGCTTAGCTCGATGAGTCCACATTTTGAAATCAAAACAAGTTTCACCCGTCCCCGTTGAATTGTTCAAATTCTTCCAAATATCTATGTCGATTAGGCTTCTATTAAGGGTAAAAAACGCGAAGTGTTTTACGTTAGAATATGGGATGGGATTAGTTGAGGTTATCGATTCCTATTTATTTATAAATATGCTAATTAGAGCATTGCAAAATCGATGTTATTTGACTCAAGTCCGGTATGATTCTAGATGGTAGTTAGCTTCTCTCTCAGTGACACATTGTACATGATCATTATCTTTGTTCTTTTCTTTTTTGCTTCATTTAACACCTTAGTCAGCATACTTATATTATCTCTCGTACATTATAGAACCCGTTAAATAGCTTCAGGATACTATTTCATAAAACTTTTTCCACGCATATCTCACTCTTATCACTACTGCCAAGTTATTAACTCCATCTGTGTCCAACAAAGTTTGAAACCTGAACTAAAAAAGGTTCTGGTTACGGTACTGAATGTATTTTAAAAAGAGGCTCTGGTTCCTAAAATTTTGAAATGTAGCTTCTGAGTTCTGGTTTTTATTTGACATGGTTCCCAGGGTTCCATGTTAAGGTTCAAGTTCCGAATTCTGTTAAAGCAATTAAAAAAATTTAAAACTAAAATTAACCCTCTTGAATGAATGAAACAAAATTTTAAACAATATCCATATAAAATATTTGCACTATTGTTAGAATCGGATCGACTGAAGTAACCTGATTTTAGGATGACCATTTTTAAAATGGAGGAATCTTGGCAAGAAGGATAAATATCAAAAATTTTATGCTTTAGTTCAAATATATCCTTAGTTATGGATCTTCAAAGATAAGAGCCTTTTCCTCTTTTAACGAATCTTAAATTACTCAAAAAACTTTAGTCTAAAATAGCAAATTATATATCATTGAGTAGCCCTCAAAATTCTCCTTAAGAAAATTGAAAATTATTTTAATAATAACTTCAGTGTCGTTATATTTCCGATAAAACAAAAATATTATTTTGAAAAGGGTCTAATTTGAAACGATGAAACTCACCAAATATGTATGTTTATTACCAATATATTTAAATGTTAAAGTAAAAATTTTAATAGAGAAAATAAGAATTTAAATTATATTTAGATTTTTATAATTTAAGAATAAAAAAAATCAATTATAAAAGGCGTTTAAAACGATGAAACTCATCAAATATGTTCATTATTAATATATTTAAATATTTTAGTAAAAACATTAATGGAAAATGAGAATTAAAATTTTAGGAAAAAAAAAATTAATTATCGATGGTGTTATCGTTAATAATTATAATATTTTTTTTCTTAGGGTACATAAAATTGTTTTTTTTTAAAAACTTCTGGTATATATGTTAGCGTTAATGTGTTTTTTCCTTAACGTGTTATTTTTTTTTAACTTTGAATAATTTTTTGAGCGCGTTTATAAAAATTTAAAATCTAAATTTACTGGAAATGTATTCCAACATGTTTGGAATACCTACCCTATGAATTTCAGACAATTTTGCCATGATCTTTTAAACTTAATCTAATTTATATTAGTTTTTCCATAGATTTCTTATATAAATGATAAATGAGTAAGATTAACGGCAAAATTGTCTACAATTCGTAAGATAGATATTCAAAACATGATTGGAATACATTTTCGATTAAATCAGATTTTTAAATTTAAAAAAAACGCGCTCAAAAAATGATTTGAAGTTGAAAAATAACACATTGCCCCTAACACACATAATAATTTTAGAGAAATATCAATAGGTATTTATAAAATAAGATGCATATTTTTATTTAAAATATATATTATAATTATCTTTAAAGATAGGCCCTCTATAGTGATCATTTAATCCTAAAATTAAAAAAAAAAAATTAAATTTAAATACTTATTTTCTCCATTAATATTTTTACCAAAATAATTAAATATATTGGTAATAAACACATTTCATGAGTTTCATCGTTTAAAATGGGGCAATTAAAATATTTTTTTGTTTTATCGGAAATACAACGACACTGAAGATATTTTAAAATAATTTTTCATTTTCTTAAGGAGAATTTCAAGCGCCACAAAGTGATATATAATTTGTTACTTTAGACCAAAAATATTTTGAGATTCGCTAAAAGAAAATGCTCTCATCAAACTTTGAAGACACATAACTCGGGATATATTTGAGTTAGAGCATTAAAATTTTGATTTGTATAAAATATACAATCTAACCTTTATACTAAGTTTCATGCATTTTTTAAATAGTCGTTAGAATATGTGGGTGATTTGTCATGGAATTAAATATTGGTTCTGGTTTCTCTTAATCTCAAAAGAGTGTTACTGGTTCTGGTTCCTAGAATTGCACATGTTCCGAAGGTTTCAGTTCAGGTTCCAAACTCTGAACCCAAGTATTATGTAGTACATTCAAAAATGAACTAAAAATAGCATATAAATTTTTAAAACCATAAATAATTAATGAAAAATAATATTTAATTGAAAACTTAGAAAGTTTAGTTACGTTAGCATTCAAAATATATAATACTAACAGAATTTATAAACTTTTCAAGAAATATCTAAGGCAGTATTTCCAATATCCTACTACAATTGTGAACACTCACATCATAACAAATTTTCTACAGAATGTGAATTAAGTGAGTTTATTGCAACGCATTTCTTATTTTTTACTCCCCAATCATAGCCATGGATTTTCATGGATGTAACTTGAGGTTTTTCATTTCCATGTTCGTCTTCCAATATAAGAGTTCCCATGATAGTAGTCATTCCTCCCACCTCTCTGATAACGAGGCAGTGGCGGCCTGAATAAAGGCCCCATGGGACATTTCTAAAATAAACCTCCCTTTGTTGGACTACGGCCCGCTTTTACCCGGCCTGCGGCCGGGAATTATATGATTTTATTTGAAGTCTACTCCACTATGTTAATATTTAAATTATTTTCTTATCTTTTTAATATCTGTTATGATCCATTTAAAAGAATTCTTAACTTTTTAAAATCTATTATGATCCATTTAAAATAATTACTCGTTCTTTGTGAATACATTATTCTTCGAGTTAATTTATAAATTTTTGTGTTCGTAATTATTATTTCATTCATTTAATAGCCGTCAAGCGATGATTAGAAAAAAATAAGTTAACAAAATATTTATAAGAATTAAATAGAAGCTCTGGTATATTTTTATAATATTAAAATAAAAAACGAAATATAATATTATAAAAATATATTTAATTGTTAATGCTAGGTGTGCTGATAGTGTCCAATAATAGTTTATCGTTGAGCAGGACTTGAAACCGATAGCATTTAACTAAATCTTGCATTTGCCGCAAAAGGTTTGGCCTTAAAAAATTGGAGCATAGGGGTGATAAAATAGGAATACTTTTTCTTTTATATTTCTATACCTTAATATCGAAAAATATGAATATTGGTAATAGTATTAAAAATTTACTTCTGATTTGATTTTTAACATATTTGCATTTTGTAGTCCAATATATAAAAATCATATATTCCCAAATTAGGAAAAGTAGCAGATTTAAAAATATGGTTATCACTGTATGTATGTCCTACATATATCAGTCATAGATTTCAATATATTAAAATTTCTAAATGATATAAAATGAATTCTATAAGAAACTATTAAATGTTTAATTCTAAATCGGTTTTGAACACTTGGAAAGAAAGGAATTTGCTGATGTTGTGCCTAAGGTTAAATTTCCTTTAAAGTTGGCTTAACAATTTTCACATTAATGGTAAACATTAGCTCAAATAATCAAGAATCTCACTTAATTAATCACTTTCTACTGACATCATTAATAAGGATTCAAGTTCCGCCCAATATTTGTTTGCAGTCTATTTTTAATTTGCTGAAAGTTTGTGCACAACTCACTTGTGAAAAAGATAAATCGTATACTATATAAAAGTCAGTATATGCTGTATGATAATATCTCATATAGACATATCAAACATTGCTTATATTTGGTTAAAGGTTCTTCCATCATTGTAACTTTCTTTCATAGAATATTGAATATATTCTTCATTTTCACTTTCAGGTTCTGATGTGTAATCACTATATAAATCAAATCTTTGTACTCTTCTTCAAGTATAGGTAGATTGCTATAAATTCCAAAAAATGAAATTAGTTCCCCTCGCAGCTTATCACGATCCACCTTAGCTAACGAGGAGATTCTTTTCAAAGTTTCTTTAGTTATACCTTCCCTATTAATTTCATCAAAACTTCTAGGATGGAAATATTGAGCATCAGTTATTAGATGTTCATTTTTCGAAAATCATGTAAAACAAGTTACTATCTGATCAATGATCACGAAATACTTCAATTCATTAAATTAAAGGGAGTCATTTTAACGCTCATCTGAACATTCCTCAAAATATATATTATTTTTATGACTAATTACGGTATTTCAGTTCATGGATATGTCATCGGGTATAATCAAATCGGCCAATAGATAATAACATATTTGTATCTATATATAATGAGATTATAGAATTAAATTTTTTTTTAGAATCATACCATTTTCCAGGCAGTTAAAAAGTCTAAGTTTCTTGTTTATAAATAAATTGATAGAGGCTCAATTATTTGAAATTCAAGAATATTTGTGCCGTTAGCTATTAAGTATATATTTTTTTCTTCTTTATATTTAATGATCTATGTTAAATAAAATGTAGATGTTATGTTTGAATGAAACTATCATTAATAATATTTTATAAAAAGATTAATGGATAAATAATGCAATAGAGTTCTCAATCTCCCTACTCTAGCCCAGGAAAATCCTTAAACATTTAAATTGGGTTATGTATATGAATTTAACAAATACGGTTCATTTTAGTTAAGGGAGGGGGGTTATAAATTTTCTTAATACTTAGTCACATGCAAAAATAATCCAACCAACCTGTATTTTAAATCAGTAACAGAGAAAATAAGTTTGTTTTCCGGGATAGACTGGGTAATTTTTATTTTTAACTTATGATAAATGTTTTGCAAAATTAAAAATATTTTATTTCTTTGGCAAAATTAAAATAAATATAGAAACAACTTCACTTTTTATATTAAAAAATCTATTTATCTCGTAAATAGTAATAATGTGATTTGTTGTAACACATTTCTAAATGTGATTATATAGTTAAATA